CGCCGGGGGAAGAGCAGACGTGGGAGCTGGAGAGACGGGAGGAGCAGCTGGAGTGGAAAGAAGACAAGTCAGCGCGGTCAGGAAAAACGGGGAAGAAAGGCGAGAGCTACCAGCACACCCAGGTCACCGATGGTGCCCCCGCTGTTGAGGGAGACAGGACTGAGATGGGTACTGGGGAAAGTGCCCCTGTGACCCATCGCAGCATCTGAGTGCCAGGACATTGGGATGCCTATGAGCTGCCGCAGCCCATACCCTGCCAAGACTGGGTCCACATGACAGGGTGCTGCAGGCCACCCTGACCCTCCGGGGCTGGGCCCAAGCCAGTTCCAAGGACTCCACTTGTGCTAACAGGGCCCAGTCCTTGCAGCTTGGTGCCACCCTCAGGCTCATGCCAAGCTGCTGAGGTGGCTTTGCTGGGCTGAGCGGAGGCGGCCACACGCCCAGGCTTGCAAGCAGCAATGCTAGGGACCAGGACGACGCCCAAGACCAGGGAGGAAACGTCAGCAGGTCACAGCACTGCGCCCCACCCTCTGAACAGCTACTGCTAGTGCCACGACCCCTCACACTGTGGCACGCAGATGAGGGAGAGGAGCTGTGGGCGTGGTGCCCACCGGAGGCTCGGGCGCTGAGGGACAGTGGTTACCCAGGCAGGGCGGCGCAGCTCCCCGGACAGCACAGGGCCCTCGGGACCAGCCACCAGCTCATCCAACACCCCCAAAGACGACCTCCTGGCTCCTGCCATCGCTTTGGACCTACCTGAAAGCTCTGGAGCAGCTTCAGCCAGGGACCCTTCGCCTGCCACCTCGGGTCTCTTGGTGGCAGCTGCTTTGGTCTCCTCAGCTGCCAGCGTTGCTCCCACAAGAGCCCCACGCGCCTCCCCAAGGGCAGAGGGGGCAGTTACTGCAATAGCATCAGCCGTTGAGTTCGCCCCCCCAGTCCTGGAGCAGCAGCAGGCCTGCGGAGTCCCCTTGGAGACCACTGGGCCCCAGAGAAGGATGGGGCTCTGCTGGTTTCCCCTATGGTCTCCGAGTCGGACCCACACGGCCACTGCGCAGGATCCCTCATCACCAGCCATGCACTAAGATCTCCCAAAGCCTAGAGCGGGATGGGAAGGGAAGCCTGGTCAGTCATGCAGGGTCCCTGAATCTTAGGGCAGAGGCAGCCAACAAGGCCAGACTATTGCTAACTGGATCCAGCAGCCAAGACACCTTCAAGAGTTAAGAGAGAGAGTGAAGAAGCAGGACAGGAGTGGGTTTGGGCACAGCCCCCAGCCCAC